AATATCCACTTCCAAGAATAGAAGATTTGTTTGATCAGCTTAAGAGGGCTACAGTATTTTCAAAGATCGATCTAAGATCAGGACATCACCAATTGAAAATTAAGTCAGATGATATCCCTAAGACGGCCTTTAGGACGCGTTATGGTCATTATGAATTTTTGGTGATGCCTTTTGGGTTAACTAATGCCCCGGCAGTATTTATGGATCTAATGAACAGAGTATTCCATGAATACTTAGACCAATTTGTTATAGTTTTCATTGATGATATCTTAATCTATTCGAAGAATAAGGAGGAACACGAGAAACATCTCATGATGGTCTTAGAAACTCTAAGAAAAGAGAAACTTTATGCCAAATTCAAGAAATGTGAATTCTGGTTGGATAAAATAGTTTTTCTGGGGCACGTAATCACAGCACGAGGAATTGAAGTAGACCCAGCTAAAGTGGAAGCAGTAAATAATTGGGTAAGACCAACCAATGTTAGAGAAATACGTAATTTCTTGGGATTGGCTGGTTATTATAGAAGATTTATCGAGGGATTTTCTAAAATAGCAGGACCATTGACCCAATTAACTCGAAAAGGGATAAAATTTCAATGGACAGAGAAATGTGAACAAAGCTTCCAAGAGCTGAAACGAACATTAGTCACAGCTCCAATGTTAACAATACCTGACGGACCAGAAGATTTGTCATATATAGTGATGCTTCGAAACAGGGCATAGGATGTGTTCTGATGCAAAAAGGAAAGGTGATAGCCTATGCTTCTAGACAATTGAAACAATATGAACAAAACTACCCAACCCATGATCTAGAATTGGCTGCGGTAGTTCATGCCCTCAAGATATGGCGTCATTACTTATATGGAAATAAGTGTGACATTTATACTGATCATAAGAGTTTGAAGTATTTTTTCACCCAAAAGGAATTAAATATGAGACAGAGGAGATGGCTAGAGCTAGTAAAGGATTATGACTGCACTATCCATTACCATCCTGGTAAAGCTAATGTAGTAGCTGATGCTCTTAGCAGAAAGGCATTGGGACAATTAGCAGTACAAATCACTATGATGGATCAGTTGTTGAAGGATTTCGACAACTTACACCTAGAAGTAATTGTTCCACCAACCCAAACTAGTGCCAGGATAGCGGCTCTAACGATTCAACCAACACTTAGAGATCGAATAAGAGTAGCACAGGATGATGACCCTTTCCTGCAAAAGATCATATCCGAGGTTGGTACTAGCAAGCGAAAGGATTTTGAATTAGGTAGTGATAAAGCCTTACTCTTTAAGGGGAAGTTGTGTGTGCCAAAAGATGAGGGATTGAGGAAAGAAATTCTTGAAGAAGCACACTTAACCCCATATACTGCCCATGCAGGAGGTACAAAAATGTATCGTGATCTAAGGAGCATGTTTTGGTGGAGAAATATGAAACGGTGCATAGGTCTTTCTGTCAAGAGGTGCATGACTTGTCAACAAGTGAAAGCTGAACATCAAATGCCATCTGGATTGTTGGAACCATTAACAATTCCACAATGGAAATGGGAGCATATAACTATAGATTTTGTTATGGGTTTTCCAAAATCAGCTAGGGGAAGTGATGCTATGTGGGTTATAGTAGACCGGTTAACAAAGTCAGCTCATTTTCTACCTGTAAGAATGAATTTTAGTATGGATCAATACGCGCGATTATACATCAAAGAGGTTATTCGTTTGCATGGTATCCCAGCCTCAATTGTATCGGATAGAGATCCAAGATTTACCTCAAAATTTTGGAAAAGTTTGCAAGAAGCTATGGAAACCAAGTTAAACTTCAGTACAGCTTTCCACCCACAAACTGATGGACAATCGGAGAGGACTATACAGACTTTAGAGGATATGTTGCGTGCATGCGTCCTTGATTTAGGGGGTAATTGGGAAAACTATGTACCACTGGTAGAGTTTGCCTATAATAATAGCTACCAAGCTACGATAAAGATGGCACCTTACGAAGCTCTTTATGGCAGAAGATGTAGAGCTCCCTTTTATTGGGATGAAGTAGGTGAACGAAGAGTTCTAGGACCCGAAATAATTGAAGAAACTAGTCGAGCGGTTGATAAAATAAGAGCTAGAATCAAGGCAGCCCAGGACCGACAAAAGAGTTATGCCGATAAAAGGAGGAAAGACTTGGCATTTAGTGTTGGTGACAAAGTTTTCTTAAAAGTGGCACCGATGAAGGGAATTCTCCGTTTTGGGAAGAAAGGAAAACTTCGACCAAGATTTATAGGTCCTTTTGAAATTTTGCAGAAAGTTGGAAATGCAGCTTATCGAATCGCTCTATCACCAGATTTGTCAGCGGTCCATGATGTGTTCCACGTGTCAATGCTTCGACAATATGTGTCAGATCCAAGTCATGTGGTTAGTTATCAACCATTGACAAAAAATGACATATGAGGAAAAACCAGTAGCAATATTGGACCGCAGAATCCAACAATTAAGGATAAAAGAAATTCCGTTAGTAAGAGTCCAATGGAGGAATCATAATGTCAAAGAATCAACTTGGGAAAGAGAAGAAGAAATCATGACTAAGTATCCAGAACTTTTCAACTAAGTTCAAGGTAATTTCGAGGACGAAATTTTTTTTAAGGGGGGAGGGATGTAATACTCCGAAATTTTATGCTCGTTTAAATTTCTTTGAGATAGCGATTTAACTTTTAATACTATTTTTGGCCATAAGGTAAAAGGGGATACCACCTTTGTAGTGGTTAATGTTAGAGGTAGTTAATGAATGTAGGCATGAAGTGTCAAAGGTTGTGTATGCATGAAGTGATTATTAGTTAGTCGAAACTTAAGGCAAGTTTGGATTTGAATGAAGTGGATTATTTTGTTAGGACTTCAATTGACCAAATGATTAAATTATTTTACA